AGTACCCTGGGAGGCAGAGCAGTGCTGTTACTCTGGTTTATGGACCGGAGAGAAATGGCTAATGGTTAAGTCCCTTCTGTGTGTTGTATTAGAGGCGAGGGGCTGGCTAAGGAGTGTCATTTTCTCAGGATGCTCAAGGTGTGGCTTGCTACAAATCCCATCTGCCCTCTCCGCGTGAACAAGCTCCTCGGGTGATTTATCTGCGTGAGGTTGCCGGTACAGACTCACTGGAGAGACAGATGGGACACATGATGGCAGACTTGGACCAGTTGCGTTTGGCAGAGAACAGATCTATGGAATATGATAGTCACTTTATGGGGCAGAATTTCTATTGAAATGGTATTCCTTGTGGATTCAGTCTCCCAGTCTAGTGTAAATATCAGTGGTATCGTGCAGCTGTTGGATTTTCGGAATGGCTGGGTGTGCACTAGAGGCTGCAAAGAGTGTGTTTGTACAAATCATGAAACAAATAAAGGTATTAGCTTTTGTCTGTGTGCTTCAGCCTGCCAGTAATACTTTTTTGCAGGCAGTGTAAATAAAGGCCTGATTTTGCTCTGTCAGTTGATGTTGGGGTGAATTAACTTAGACTTGAAAGCCTCAACAGTAACCCAGGTAATAAAACTTAATTGTGAAGTAAGAATGATAAAATTTGTCATCTGCTTGGAAAGGGAAGATGTGGGGTAACCCAGACCTCCCATTTGTTTCCCCTCTGACCCTGTTTCTTATTTCTGTCTCTCAGAAAATGCAAAAAGAAGGCTTGGAGCTTGTGAGAGCATTAGAAAGCGTGAAAAAAAAAAAAATCATGTGACGTAACCACCCACTTGACCCAACTATGGTCAATGCGTTTTAACTGTATGAAAGTGCAAACTGCTCACAATTTATTATACTGAGTAAAGATCCTCAGTTGCTTTCTCTGAAGATAAAGCTTGTCTTGGACTTCTCTGGCAGCGGAATCAGGCTAGCTGCAGATCCATGTTGTAGATTAGGTCATTTGCTTGTATTTCAGTTACGGTGTTTTTTCCAGTTTCTCTTCCACCCCTGTTCTGTAAAAGCAGTGCAGCTGACTGGAGGGCTGTAGCCATTGAAAGGGCTCAGGCATTAAAAATAGAAGCTTTGGGTCCCTTTTCATACTCAAACAAATTTTTATATCCCAAGTGCAGTATTGTGCTGCCCAAGGAAAAGGGTGTTGTGAACACAAAAGCTGTTCAGCTCTCCTTGAAGCCGGTGGCAAAATTCCACTTTCTTTCAATGGGAGTTTGCAAAAGACCCGTGATGGGCAGAAGAAAGCTGTGAGTCCATAGTACCATGCAAATGTAAAATGCATACATTCCCTTTTGGGTTTAGTATAACTAATTCTTGGATTATTTTCTTCAGAGAATATGGAAGTGGTTGGTCACAGGAAATAGCTGTAACAAGGATTGCTGAAACACCCCGATTCCTCCAGACAGTTGAAGGGATGGCCCGTAAAACAAGAATTTGCTGTCTCTAGAAAACTACCCAGGACTTGCTTAAAACATCTGCCCTGCTTATTCAGCAAAATGTTGATGGAAAAAGGGAACAACTGTGAACCTTAGGAAGAAGCAATCATACCATGTCTATTCTAGTCACCACCATGTCTTAAAATAGAAGGACAACGAAACATAAATTTTACAGATAGAGATAGATGATCCCTATCAGTTTGGTGCCATGTCATTTGCACGTTTTGGAGAAAAAATGCTCAGGGTTTGGAGGGAGAGTCCCATTAACCTGTTACTCAGGCACTTACACATCATCCAGAGAAAGATGTGAAATGTGTGACTAGATTCATACTTGTTGGTATTTAGTGTGAGTTTGCGTTAAAGCACGAGGAAGGAGGGACCACCTTGTTTTCCTGGGTGTTTGGTTCAATTTGGAGGGTGAAGTGTCAGCTGCTGTTTGAATGTGTAATAGCCACCAGTAAATCTCTAAATATAAAGATTTGCGTTAACTAGAGTATCCTGAGTAAGTCTTGAGTAAAGCAGAGGCTGAAATGTAAGAACTTCAAGGAAGCCGTCTCCCTCTTTAAAGTGAGTTTTCCTTTGGGCTTCCTCACAAGACAGCAGAAGTTTGCCCGCCCCAGAGGCTGTTCTTTGTGCACCTACTGCTCACCCTGCCTGAGCAGCCGTGTAAAGGGAACCCAACCGCGAACCTTCGGCATGGCCGCGGCTTGTATGAAGGGAAGAGTGTGTAGATAAATGTACCTTCCAGATACCGGTGTCAGCAGCGTGGCACAAAACCGAAATCTCTCATGTTCTCTCCACGTGAGATCATCCTTAAAATTCTCCAGAACAATGAGGTTTCTCTGCAGCTGTGAAGAGCCCTAGGGCCTTGTCAAGCATTCTTGCACTTCTCGGCTTATTCTGTTGCACCTTGATAGAGATAAGACTAATTATTAGATACTCAGCTTTAGATTCCCTGCAGTGACTCAGTGCACAGAGTTTTCTTTATCTATCCTTTTCCAGTCTAGCCTTACAGTTTACTTCAGTGAGATTATGTACTTGCTGATAGTGGCAGAATTTGGCTACCAGGAAAGGACATGGTTTTGACCTCCATTGGACGTTACTGTAACGTAAATCATTCCAAACAGTGGCCACTCCATCGCTTTTCGCAATATACCTTGCCTTAAGATTGGAAAACAGTGATTTTGGGTGGTCAGCTTCAGGAATCTTCAAAGGGCCCCAAAATCTTTTGGAAACTGCTGTTAGGGAAGATCGCATCTTCTAAAGTCACATTGCCCTAAATTTTGAAAATTTCAGGCTTGCATCAATATTCATAAGAGATCCAAGCTCAGTGATATTTAATGAAGGAATACCTTTATGGAAAGTACTTTACATGCACAGTAGATGCATATTAGAGCCCATTTGAAATGTGTGTGTAGATTCTGATATTACCAGAAAGGGAAAACTTAGTGAGCAAAAGTGTGTGAAGCTGGGAACTAACACGTCAGTCTGCTGCTCCTGGAACTGGATTTGACTTAGACCTATATGCTGCTGTGTGACCCCTGACCACATAACACATCACTTTACCGTGGGCTGTCATCAGGATCTAATGATAAGGAGAGAGGTAGAGAAGCTGAAGAAGCAGGGGCTAGTGGAGACTGGGACTTGTGCCTGTTATGGGCCTGTGGTAATGTCTGGTTGCTGGGGCTGCTTATTGTCAATGACCACTAACTTTCATTCAGATGTTTTTTGAAGGTAGAAGAAACTAAGTATTAGACACAACTACCAATTGTAATTCAAGATACATAATTTTTTTTTTTTTTTTGCGATGCAGTCACAGCATCATCAAGGTTGGAAAAGCCCGTGCAGCTCCTCCAGCCCAACCATGACCCTCCCCCTGACCGTTCCCAACTCCCCCAGACCCCTCAGCGCTGGCTCAGCCTGACTCTTCAACCCCTCCAGGGATGCCGGGGACTCCCCCCTGCCCTGGGCAGCCCATTCCAACGCCCAACAGCCCCTTCTGCACAGAAATCCTTCCTCAGAGCCAGCCTGACCCTGCCCTGGGCAGCTTGAGGCCATTCCCTCGGGGCCTGGCGCTGGCTCCTTGGCTCCAGAGACTCATCCCCCCTCTCTGCCCCCTCCTGGCAGGGAGTTGCCGAGGGCCAGGAGGTCTCCCCTCAGCCTCCTCTTCTCCAGACTGAACCCCCCCAGTTCCCCCAGCCGCTCCCCAGCAGACCTGTGCTCCAGTGATCACTTGCAGTAGATATGAGAATAAGGAGTGTTAGAACTCAGATCATTCCAACTGTTATTTTTTAAGATAAACATGAAACTTAAATTGCAGCATCATGTCCACAGTAACAGCTGACATGGGTAAGTTGATGCAACCAGACTAGAAGCAGTTGTGATCCCTGGATGACTGGACTAGCCAGGTGACCTCAGAGAGTTTCAGTCCTGCACCAGGTGTGTCTGCTGTGTGCTCTGGGCACCAGGCTGGCAGGATCTGGAAGAAGCACTGAGAAGGAGAATGCATTTTATTTAATGTTCAAATTTTTGTTCTGAGGAGTCCATATCCAAGTTGCTTCAGCCAGGGAAAGGCTGACGGTGGCCTGAGGTCTAAGGATGTTAGAGGGAAAGGCAGGTTTTGCTTTGGGTTTTTGAAAGATAGGCAAGAATCAAGGAAAACAAGAACAACTGTAGTATACTTTGGACATTTGTAACATCCGCATCTATGTGAAGTTGTGGTATTTGTGTGTGTGTGTGTGTGTGTGTGTGTTGATTTATCTTTTTGCTAATTGTCAGTGAACTGACTCACTCACAAAAATAGAACAAACATTTTCTTAGTGGCCTGGAGAGAAGAGGATTCTCTGGGATTTATTCTTAGGAATTTAAAGATATTCCACAGAGACTTTTACACGCACAGCGACCAAATGCTCTGCTTGTGTGAACTGGCATAGCATCACTCTGCTCAATGGAAGCTTATGTTAGTTTATGTCAGATGATTTGGTCTCCGTGTACAACAAATGGTTTGTTTCTCATTCTCCCAATTCCTGAGTAACGAGTAGAAGGAAAGTTTTCATTAGGTTTTGAGTGTAGTTTTGCTATAATGTGTGTACTCTGGGTGAGTAGTCCCAAGCCAGTGAGGTGTCTGTATATCATAGCAGAGATGTTGTACTCGAGCTAAAAAGCTTTTCTGGTTCAACTGAAGAAGGGGAGAAGGAGAGAGGTTGGCAAAGAAGCCACTAAATCCCGCAAAGCATCAAACACTGCCAATAGTCTTGAGCGTGGCTCAGTTCAGAAAGTTCAAAAACCACTGCTTAAAGGAACAGTGCAAATATTTTCCATCCTTTTCTATGAAATGACATGGTTTGTTTACTGTTTCTTGTTTATCTGCTCTGCATGATATGTCACATTTATCAGTAAAACAGACTGTAGGGGGTAACAGTACTTAAATGTTTATTTTATGATGTTTTGGCTTTTGCTGTGTTTATTCTGCAGTTTCTGACTAAATTCATACTCAGATAGCTTTTTCTTCTGCTGTTACAGAGTATCTGTCTCCAGCTGCCCCTAAAAAGATGAAGCAGGCAAAATGAACTCAAAACACAGAAAGAGAAGATATTTGAGACTAACCTGCGAGGCGTTCAGGTATTTGTGCTTTCATTACGTATACCAGTAATGGGTGTGTGACGTGGGGTTCTCTGCAGTTCATGCACTTGAAGGAAAATGTTCTTGTTGACTCGCACAAAGAGGTGAGAAAATGACATAAAAGTCACACCCGAAGGATTTAAAGCCGTTTAGTCAGAATGCCACCATGCAACCTCGAGATGAAGCTGGAGTTGAAAAGGTGGCATGTCAGAGTCGCAGCTCGGAGTTCAAACACGCGTTGGTGCTTCTGGATGTTCCATCTCATCTGTTAGCTAAGTCAGATTTTACCACCTCTGACTACACCGAGCACTGATGGCCCTCTGAGGAATGGTGGAGAAAGCGGATTCTTTTCTGACATTTCACTGGAGCAAAGCAAACAGCCTGTCCTCTCCTGATGGGCTCGGGCGCTATAAAACTCCCAGTGACCTCAGGAATTAGATCCTGGCAGCCGTGTAAGCCCAGGGTTAGGCCTGCAGTGAGGGTGAAATTCATTCTGGTTCCCAGAGATGACAGAAGGTCCTGTGTGCCTCTTGCCAGGCCTCAAGGATTTTAGTGAGATTTAAATAGTGTGTATGTTCTGTGTGCAGCTGAAAGGAAATAAGGCATTTGCAGTTCCTCCCAGTGCAGAAATGGGACTTTCTAGTTGGACAGCAAGGGCAATCTAAAGAAAGTTTATAAATTCTTATATTATAGGAAAATAGATTTTTGTTTCACAAGTACATACAGGGAGAAGGAGCACAGATCTGTTTATTCTCTGTCATGTGTCTCTGAAGCAAGGAGAACAATTACGTGATTGCTTTTCAAAGCTCCTCGTGAGCAGGTGATGACAGACCTGCTATAGATGTGCAAACTGATAATAGCAACAAGTAATTACATACATTTTGGTATTATGATAATACTGTAGAGATATTGATGGTACACAGCTAGGTCCCTTTATAGCTGATTAATTCAGTGAAGCAAATGGGATTGCTAACAGGCGTAAAGGTAAGAGTTGTGCTCGCAGAATGCATCAATACAAAGTGCATCCAGAGAACACATTTTGCTTCTGTAGTCATTACAGTCCTCCGTTATCTCGTTACAATCATTACGTTGTTATAATTAACGTTGCAAACTATTATTTATAATTAAGTATTTTAAACAAAACCACAAAATCAGAGGTATCTCCTAAGGGTATATGTTTAATGGTTATGTCACTAATACGTGAAAATGAGTCTTGTTAAATGTTGTACCATATGCGACTGTCTGAAAACCAAATATATGTAAACAGCAAAGTCACTCTGAATATTATTTTAATTCCTGAACTACGCACTGTATCAGCTTCCAGATATTTATTCAAGTTTGTATTTTATTATGTGTGCATTCCCGTGGTTTTGGCAGTGTGTTCATAGACAGTATTGATGTACTCTTTCGGACTTTGCTACCAAACTGCTTCTTCGACTTCGTGCAGCTTGCTTCATCTGAGTGAACACCAGGTAACTCGGATGCAAAATGGATATTAAATCACAGAGTTTTGCTACACGTGATACAGATGTGACACATGGGACCAGTGAATGATGACGTGGCATTATTAGTTCTTTTCATTTCAGTGTTTTGTCTTCACTGGTTAGTTTTTTGTAGCATTGGTCTTCTGATGCAAGTAGTTCCTAGCATTGGCATTGCAAAATGTGAGTCAGTGGTGAAAACTTGGCTTTTTTTTTTTTTCCCAAGTGCTTTTGAGCCCTGAGTCAGATCATTTGCCTTTAGAAACATCCTCGGTCTCTGGAGCTACAGTTTTGTCTGTAAGAACAGGAAACTGCTGTAAGAATCTCCTAATGCAGATTTAGGAAAGGTTTCTCTTCAACTTCGAAGAGTGATACTATTTCTCTGTAAGAAGATTAATTGTATCTAAATAATTTTAACTTTTAAGCCTTTTGAAAATAAGTACACTCGAGATTAAAAAGTGTTTAACTACTTAATTGTGCATTTCCTTCGAAACAGTTAACCCTCCAAGACAGGAGAAACGAGCCTTACCCAAATTGTATTGCCAACAGATAGGAAGAATACTGCCTGAGAGCATCCTGTGGCCTGAAATTAGGCACTAATTCTGTACCCAAGGGTGGTGGTCAGATCAGACATGCAGTGTTTTAGATATGAATTGCTGACCTTACTTAATGTTCTAAAAACTCATAGTTATGGAGAAAATAGTTTACTTTAGAATTTCAGGTTGTGATCATTCCACTACTTCTAATTCCCTCAAAATAAGAAAATTCTAAAAGTCAAATTTTCCTCTTAGAAATTTCAAACTACATATGATTTGAATAACTATGAGTAACAAGCTACTTTAGAAAGGAAGATTTTTTTTTTTCCTCCTTTGAGGGAGAAATTACACTTAATGCTTGTTGCAAGCCTTTCATGGTTCTGACACTACCCCGATACGCTATTTTCTAAATAAACTACAATTACAATATAACAAAGCTACTTACAAGTGTGCTGTATTCGAGATGAAGATTTTAGTTAGTTTTGGTTTGCACGGAAGGAGTACTTCTATTTCACAAATTTTGTGTAATTTTGGGACCCGAAAAACTTGAAATCTGTATATTCTCACAGTCTGTTCGTAGAAGATGGTCACGTTTTCAAAGGAACTGGATGTTCTGTATACAGTTGCAAGGAAATAAGGCATTTGCAGTTTCTCCCAGTGCAGAAATGGGACTTTCTAGTTGAGCAGCAAGGAAACTAACTGGAAAACTTAGCGAAAATCTCAAAACCCTAGTCCTTCTCCTTCCAAAACACTCTGCGTTGAGTATAGGAAGAATTAGTATCAAAATACGGCTAAAGAATGTGATACAGGATTATTCCAGTTAATTGTTAGCCCCTTCTATTCCTGTTTGCTGCATTTTGTAACCAAGGCAATGGTTTCCACAAAGTGCAGGACTACCGGTTACTTTTTTTGAACATCGATTCTGCACTGAGTGGTGACAGCGGTGTCTGGGTGCGAAGTTGATGGTGATGGTTGGATGCCTTTGTTTCAAAATGACAGCTTTGCACCTGTTATGCAGCCCAGGCGTGAGCAGCTCCTGCTGCCAAGTGAAGACTAGGTAGCAGTGGTTAGCTGAATGTCAGCTATAAAATCTAAATGCAGTGAAGACACCGAGGAGGAAGAAAATAAAAAATTAAGACATGATGATTTAGTTGACAGCCATCCTGCTGGAAGCCCCTGAACTTGTGGCCTGAAAGTTTGGTTTCCTTGATAATGTTCAAAAATGTGAATTTGGTTTTTTGTTTTTTTGGTGGTTTTTTTTTTGCTTGAGGCAGGGCATTCATTGGACCTAGCTGGCATATATTGAACAGTAATGCGGGGAGGGAAGAGGGTTTCAGATGTGAATTAAGCCTGAGTTATAATGACTCATAACTGACAACAAAACACCCAAGAAGAGACATGAGACAGGATGAGATGAAATGAGACAAGCCATGAAAGAAGGGGCAGATTTATGAGTTATCAGCCTACAGATGGAATGTGAAGATATATGAGTGGAGAATGAGATCATCACAAAGAAGTATGCTAGGGGAAAAGGAGGGGGTTCACAGGGCAGATCCCAGTAGCCTCTCGCAGATAGTGGGAGGATTGATTTAAGCCACGGGAAAATTAGTATTAAAAATGATATAAAGATGGGTCAGATCCCAAACCTCAGAGGAGCTTGATTTTTTTTTCTCTCACTGCACTTCAAAAAGCAAAGAAACAACAGTTGGGATGACCGTGAGCCTCCAACAGCATGTGGAGACCATGCACCTTGATGGTAATCCACCTAGCTCAAATCACATAAACATGCTTTCAATTTTGGTAATGCAAGGCAATTTTCAGCATTTTAAGGAAACCGCTGCATTGCTTAGAATAAAGACAGGAGGCAAAATTCTCGCCTTCAATCTACACAATGCAGTAGTTTTCTTAAAACGTTAAAATTCGCCTTTCATTCCTCAAACTGAAAGCATGTTTCCAAGTAACTACATCCTTTGTGCTACGCTGCAGCCAAAGCATTTCTTACGGATTATAAGTGGTGGAATTGATTGCCAAGTCTATTTGAATGAAATTTCAGTTGGCACAATTATAACCCATTTCGAGATTCAGCATCTTAAAATTTCCACCTAAAAGATGAAAATAAATACTTGGCTGCTCACAAAGTATTAAATGGCACACACAGATCTGTGAAGTTTCTCTGTTACTTTAGTCGCGTCCCCCTCCCCTTTTTCTAATTTTGTTCTCGTATCCTGTAAAGAGTGATTAGGAGGATCTGTTCAGAGAAGCGCACAGAAGTCTGTTATTTAGCTGAATCTGCAGAATCAGTTGGCAGGCGCATGAGAAAAACTTTTCTGGTGGAATTTCTTCTTCCATCTGATTCTGATAGGAATAGATAGGAATTGGGAAGAGGCAGTAGAGTGTTTCTCACAGATTCAATCATTTTTGCTCTGCGTCTTAGCTAAGAATACCAAGGAGACATCTGTGTTGCTGGTCAGGTTGAATTAAGCCTCATTCAACTTGCTAACTGATGGGTAGAACTTGAGGCAATCAGTAAAGCAGTTTTGATTTTGTTGAATGTCATTAACTTTTTGTTTGAAATTTAATTTTGAATATATAAGCGAACTACATTAAAAATTCATGAAATCTCTATTATTCTAAAAGCCTATCTGTTTTGGGTGGCGCTGAAAAAAATGGATAGGATTTTTTTTTTTTCCTTAAAACAGAAAAATTGAAAAATGCTGAAACATTTTTGCTCAGTTTAAACCAGTAGGCTGAAATAGGATTCGGTTAAGCCTCAGTCTGAAGTATTTTAAGTTTTGTTTAACTGCTGCTGCTCGTTCACTCAACAGCAGCGTGCAGGGAGTAGGAGCTCCCTCTAGGAAGGGCTGGAACATCTGAGCGTAAGAATGAGCACGTGAGCTCAGTCCCAGGACTCCTCCAGCAGTGGATGGATTGTCCAGCCGCTCGGACTGTCACCTGTCCTCAGCACTGGCCAAAACCAAATGCC